ATTTTTATACAATATGCCCAAATCTTTTTAGGTCTACATTTGCCATTATTAACATCTGTTGAAGCTAAAACATCTACTCTCCTAACCAGATCATCAGTGGTTGACGTTTAATGTGGCCAAATGTTCTAAGACGACTCTTTCTAATCTTGTCTGCCACTGGAGCTACACCAACCCTATCACAGATATATTCGTTTCTCATTTTATCTTTATATGTCAAGCCACTCATCCACCTAAGCATTCTCATCTCAGCAACACTTAACTTTATTTTATACTTCTCTTTTAAAGGCCAACATTTTGCGCCATAAAGCAACACTTGACAATTGGATTCATTTGCTAAAATGACAATGTTAAATCATGAATAACCACATTGCTAACTCTGCAGGATTAATTTTTTATTCATTCTGTTGTTTTTTCTATAATTGCCTTCAAAAAAACAAAAAAATTAGAGAACTAAATGTATAACTAAAATATCACACAATGGGTTGGACAAGTTTAGGACAAGCTCAAAATGTGAACTCTTTATAGATCATCATGAACTTGCCCAAATTTGGCATGAGCTAGATCAAGTCAACGCCTAGTTTAAAAAAGCATTCATGGCACATGCCACGAGGTATTGCTCAAATTGAGGTACACAAAAAAAAAGATCTTAAGACTCATGCCTTCCCAACACCGTTGTTGTCGCCTGTTGCTTTTATTGTCATTGTCGCTTGTAATTGTCATGATGATTATTGTCATCATCGCCGCCCCCTCACCAATTCTTCCAAATACCATAATGTTTTAAAGTTTCTGCAATTGTAAACCCCCTTTTTTCATTTCTTTGAATATTTTCATAGGTTAAAATTTGTTTGAATTTTGAAACAACATTTTCATTCTTGAATTTTGTAAGAAAAGATTAGAGGCAAGGAGAAATCCATATTTGATAAAAAAAAAATCCAGTATGGAGACATGGTTTGTAAATCAACAATGGAGGCAACAATAAGACACGTCCTTTTGAAATGTAATTAGTAAAAAAAAAATAGTTAAAGGAGGTGTTACATAGATGAAAGAACATTTCTCCAACTCGCATAAAAATGTTACACTATATACTAATGTGTCTAAAACAATAAAAAAGAGGATATTCAATCCTACATGAAAAAGGCATCTTGCACAGCATCAATTTGATGGTAGAATTGAAGTCGGCTCTTACTATAGAAGTAAAAATAGTGTTAAAAACTCATCATCATCATTGCAACCGATGTCAGGTAGAGGTATAAAAGTCCATAGATCATTACATGATAAATGTAGAGACTAATAGGGGTCATAGAGTGGGGTCAACTGCAGCTCAAAAGATGTCTCCAGAGCATATTAGAGAGGTTTGTAAATGTGTTTGCATCGATATTAAGAGATTTTTTATGAGAATAACATTCCATTTAATGTGACAACTTCCCTTTCTTACTTTAATATCATATGTTACATAGGTGCTTATGATGCAGACTTGAAACCCTTATATTTGCATGATTTGAGGATATGGGTGTTGAAGGAGCCGAATAATACAAAAAAAACATAGAAGAGAGCAAAAGAACTTGAAATCAGACTATAGTAACAATCATCTAAAATAAATGATTTGACATAAAGAATAAAGTTTAATCAATAATCAAATGAACAATACATATAGCACTGTATTTTTGAAATTTATAAAAGCATTTGATCAAGTGAAGGATGTAAAGTATTATTTTAAACAGCTTGATAGAGTCATAAAAGAGATTTGAGAGCATTTTGTGGTCCAGCTTGTGATAAAAACTGTTAGTGCTTATAAGACAATTGAAAATAAATTGATGAAGAAGACAAAGCATTTATATTGGACATCATAAATTGCACACTACATAGACTTAATTTTAGAAAAGACTAGTGACTTACACAAGATAACAATGCCCTGATAAAAATAAAAAAGATCAATAAATTCGTTTATAACCGTACATGAGTATTAACTTCGATAAGAATTTTTTTAACAAATAACTACTCATATGCTTTACTATAACAAGATTTGTTATAGACTTGTTAACTCTACAGAGCATGTTGAAACCTAAAAAACCAACGAGCGTAATGTTCACTTCCACTTAATGGCTTAGCAATGCATGGTTGAAACAAAATAAGGGAAAGAAATCAGATAAATACAAGATTTTAGTCAATAATAATCACCATTAATTCAGAACTTGGACGTAGAGAAAAAGCCAATTATGAGTTTTATTTATAATGCAATGGATGAGACCAAAGAATTCATAGCCCATAACTTAGGATGAGAAGAGACTAGTTACAAGGAGATTTGAGATATCATTGTTGAGAAATGAGAGCTTCAACACCATCGGCATTTGCATGTTGTTTGGTTTTTTTTTTCTCAAACAATAATTTTAAAAATGTAGAGAACAAATCTACCAATCCTGATCCCGAGTTAAGGTTATATCATTGCATGGATAAATTGATTCTTGGTCCAACTAAGAGGGTAACTGTTGATTTGCAACTTGTTCCATTTAGGAATAATGAAAACTTCTTTGGGTTATAGCAAACAAATTATATCGTTGCAAAATCCTCTTTAGAAAGTTTTTATTGTTTGATGTGTTCTTTGAAATAATGATCAAGTATCTAAATTTTAAAAAAAAATTTAATCATACCATTTTTTTTCAAATGAAGTTGAATGGTGGATCCAGTTTCATGATAACATTTCGGAGTTATAATATTTTGTTATTAAAGTATTCGGACTTATATGCTCATCATTTCAATGTGAGCACAATTTGAGCACATATAATAAAATTCACACAGAAAATCTGTTTAATAATATTAAGATTGATTTCTTTTGGTGTACATTATATATAACAAGAGATTACATGAAAGAAATTTAAATAAAAAACTTTTAAAGGTTTACACGAACCTCCTACTATGTGAAAATACACCAGCAGATAATAAGTGGTTTGTAATGACAATAATGGAGTTAGATCATCTAAAAGTTATAACGAAAAAATTTAAACATCGATTTTGATGAAGACAAGGCTGGCGCATCTACCACAAGCGATAAGGCATAAAAGAAAATGTATTTATAAAATTTATATATTTGATATTATATTAAATTTTAATTAATATAATAGCATTTTATTGATTATCTTTTACCATTGACTAGCGAAGGAAAGCTGATGAAGCTGAAGAAAAAGGAGAAAAATGAGAAACTTAGATTTGGTTGAACAAGAGATTAGGGAGAAAAATGAGAGAACTTGGATTTGACTGAACAAGAGATTAGGGAGAAAATTATTTATTATAATGATGACTCCAATAAAATCTCATGAGTGATAAGAGTGCTAAGGGTTTTTGATTATTTATTATATTACTTTTTAAATTTATAAATGTTAGTGTTGGATAATAAAAGTAAAAGAAATCTATTGTGCTAACTCATTTCATCATATTTTACTTTAATATTTTATGTTATTTTCATTTCATATTTTATGTTAGTTTTATCAATCAATATTTAAATTATAATTTTGCTTTGTGCAATTCGTTATATGATGTTTTGTGCTTGAGCAATTTGTTATTTGATATAAGCGCAACTTGTCACTTTTTACTATGTTAGGAGGTTAACATGTCTTTTTTTAATATATTTATATGTTATAATTCTAACATATTAACTTTTACCTTTATTTCGACTCTACATAATTTTCAAACTATGAGACTTACACATCAAAATGTCACTAGACTTACGAGTCACCTCACAAATGGAAAAGACCTCAATACCCAGTTGTAAAATTTTAAACATTATTTATGATTTATGTATTTATGACAACAAATAAAATCAAAATATTTATAATTTATGTATGCTTATGCCTCGATCCGCCTTGAAACTCGCACCTTATCTCACTAAGGGAAAACGTCTCCATCCTTGATTTTTCTTTTTTAAACCTTAAATCATATTGAGCCAGCCAAAATTTGCATTGATTTGTCATGCATGAGGATTCAACACAATCCAAAGGAAACCGGTTAAAGTTATCATGAACCCATCAATGATCTCGATGAATTTCCTAAGGAAAGGACTAATTGCCTCGTACAAAAAGGCACTCAACCAATTCAGGAGAGCTCATTTGGGTCAAATAAAATCATTCAAGTCAAAAGCACTTGCCTCACCCCAGAAGGTGTTCTCACTAGCCTAAAGATCACTCACTCGAACCACGAATGGACTTACCAATTCCAAAGAGATATTCGCCCAAGTTAGAGGGGTATGGCAAAACCCTACATTCCTCCAAGCAATCTCGCCCAACCAGCAAGCGATCTCATCCACTTAATTGCATAGGCCTCTAAGCCCGAGGGCCCAACCAGCTACTGATTTCATCCACTTAATTACAAAGGCCTCTAAGCCCAAGGCACCCAACAAGGGAGACGTCCACATGTAATCTCCAAAAGCTTGATTCTTGTGCCCATGTCTGTATAACAACCCAATCATCTGCTCTCCAATTTATTACCTATTCTTTAAAAATGCAGTTTTTCATGTCCCCCCATAGAAAAACGGCTAGTTCTTTTAGTAAATAACTGATAAAATATTGGGATCTCTTCAGCCCTCTGAAATAGAACTTTCCCTTTTCCTCATTCTCTTTCTCGTTGATCTTATTAATAAGGTACATGCTTATCCATGAATACATTTGGACTCAATAGGTGTATTAAGGCATCAAAAAATGAAAAAAAACAACTGACTTCTGCAGTAATTCTTCTCTTCTTACTCTTTATCACACTATTTTTGGAATTGCTGGAGTACCCGAAAGCATTGTTTATCTTTACGATCCACCGGAATCGTTAAAAAAAAAGAGTAAAAAAGCTTAAAACTAACTGATTGTGGGTTCACAAACAACCCATAAATTATTGAAATTTTCTCCACCACTTTAATTCAATTCATACAAAACCTTACCAATCGCGTTTCCTGAATCAAAAGGCATAACGAAAAAGGATTCACTTATGTAACGAAACTTCGTAAAAGTTAATAGACTAACGGTATAGTTGCCGGGATTCATGCTGATAGCCTCGGCGGAGAGATTGAGGGCGCGTTGGCTTCGCTCGCCGGAGAGGTAAACTGCCCGGAAGTAGTCCATCGTCTCCCGGAAGTCGTCCCGGTAGGCGATGGGCACGACTGGGTGGAGCCCGTCGTCCTGGGGCACCGGCTTCACATCCGACCATTCAGGTCGCCGGCTAAAGGGCACCCACTCGTCTTCGTCCGACGACATTACTACGCAGCTAAGGATGAAGGCAGCTTGTCGTGTACAATTGTTATAATCCACCGACCCCCGTAGCCGGGGCAAAACCAAGTTTTTTTTTTTTTTTCGTCCAAATCTAGCGACTGTTTGGTTGCTTACATCCTATAAATCTGAAATTATAAAATCTTAAAATCGGTTAAATCCTAAAAATTGTTTCATATATTAATTAAATTTTAAAGTGGTTACATTAGAATATTATTTGATGTGTTAATAGATAAATTCTAATAAATTCAAAATATTTGTTTGGTAATCTTAATAGGATTTACTAATTTGGGACTGTTTTGCGCAGGTGCAACTTATTAATAAATTGTTCTGCCATCAAAACTTTTATGAATAATTTGGTTATTTGTTTTATGCAATTTTAAAACAGTTGTACGATAGTTGTTTCTAGACAAATGATCATTTTAACATTATGTAGTAATGTTGTTTGTAACAGAACTGTCATAGTCATATATTTGATATTTCAGAAGCAAAAATCAACATCAGAAAATTACTTCAGAACAATACAAAAAATAAGATACGCATCTCACTTAACAGTGAGTGTCAAGATTGCTAAAAAAATAAAAAAAACAATTAAAATTATATTTAATAATATGATAGTATTGTTTTTGAAATGCAAACGACGTACGTCACGAGCTATGTCGTCATCCAGAGATGTTATTCATTTTCAATTACTATCGACAGTGGAAACCCACCGGAAGAAGTCACACTTCTTTATGATTCTTCGCGCCATCTATAGAAGTGTCTCCCGTAGCTATGCACCTAAGCGACGTAAGTAGGGAAGTCTGAAGTTTGCAGTGGCAGAGCAATCGGCGGAAGATCTCTGAAATCATAAGAAGTCACACTTCTTTATGATTCTTCGCGCCATCTGTAGAAGTGTCTCCCGTAGCTATGCGCTTAAGCGACGTAAGTAGGGAAGTCTGAAGTTCGCAGTGGCAGAGCAGTCGGCGGAAGATCTCTGAAATCATGGAGCTCATCTTTCTTGAATGCTACAATGGACAATCCATTAGTCATAGAGAAGTTAAAATTGATAGAATAAGTAATTAATTACAATTTTTTGCAGGCGTGTGATATTAGAAAACTTAGTATACCAACTAACGAATCTGTCACTACAAGAAGACAACAGACATTGTAAAAAAAAATTGCTTTTTGATAGCTTTGTTCGCCTCTAAGAATTCCCCTGCAAAATAATCGCTTTTTGATAACTTTGTGCTAGTTGTCATTTCTAATGTAAGCAAAACCCTCGGGATCAAGAGTATTATTGAGCAACCCACAAGATGTAATTAAATAAGTAGGATATGTGTCATTGGGAGCACTCTAAACCTCAGAACAGGTAAACACACTTGAATCTCTGGTTGTAGGTAGTCTACGTAGGTATTCTTTTACAGATATTGGTCCAATGTGCTTCTGTCTGATCTTGTTTGGGCATACATGATTGACCTATATTTGCGGGGTTTACCGCACGTCAGTTCTTCATGTTTTCTTTCTCTTATTTATCATCTTTGTCGTATGTCTGTCTTTTTTGACTTCTCACTTCTCTTGATCATTCACATGTTATGAAAGAGAGAACTATTTGGAAAAGAAAATTATATGATGGTAGACAAGCTATCGACTCCTTCAAAAAAAGAAGAGAAAAGAAACAAAAACATACCTGAGCTCCACTGGAGATGAGCCTCTCTTCACCACAGGAGTTTTGCTTATGTGTCTTGCAGATCCCAGCATATTCGTAAGACTAGAGACTTTATTGGGAATGAGACTATCTCTTCACTAGAGGAGTTTTGCTTATGTGTCTTGCTGATCCCAGCGTATTCGCAAGACCGACGACTCCACTGTGAATGAGTCTCGCTCTTCACCACAGAACTTTTGCTTACTTCTTGAGGATTCTAGCATATTTGCAATATAAGTAGCTCTTTCGGGGAAGATTTACTCTATTCCCATCTAGGAATTTATGTTTGCCTGTTATGCAGATCCTAACAAACCTGCAAATTTACAGAGCTAATTTGCAATATAAGTAGCTCTTTCGGGGAAGATTTAATCTATTCCCATCTAGGAAGTTATGTTTGCCTGTTATGCATATCCTAACAAACCTGCAAATTTACAAAGCTAGGTGGAGTAGTGTTCTCTCCCTTATGGGGGTTCTGCTTATATTTTTAGTGACCTAGCTTCCTTTATGTCGTAACATCGTTGTTTGTACATTTTTAAACCTTACACTTTAGAGCCATACATCAGTTGATATGGTTAGTAACTTGATGCAATTTTGTCCCTTCTTTTACCCTCGACATTTCAATTATTGCAGTATCGCATTCATCAATGTCATTGTACTTCTCTTTGTTTCGTTTTCCTTGACCTTTCCATGTTTGTAATCTTGTCTTTTTTTACTACGTAGACATGGCGAGTGAGAAGATGATTGCGATTATTTCTGCGTGGGGTAGGGAGAGGGGGAGTGGGGGGAATTTTGTTTACTTCTCATCCAACATCTTGGGTGTGTGGGAGAAGGTCATTATCTGTGGTTCCTTCAAGCACCCCGTTGGGATTACTTTGAGTAATCACACACCCAGTGAGGTGTTTGCTCTATACCATCCCCCTCAAAAGTGGAGTCATACATATTGTGCTGCTCTTATTGTATTGGCTCACATTGAATCCACCTCTTTTGTGAAGAAGAGGTCGACACCCCACTGTGACGCACCATAGCGGTCGTCGATCTTTTCCAAACTGTCGAGTTGTTTCCCCATGTTCTTATGGACCTTCCTGTCAGAGGTAGGTGAGTCTTCTGACAGTAGTAGGGTTGTCAGTGTTGTCAGTTTTGTCACTGGTGTGACTTCCGTTCTAACTCCTTCTGTTCGGTTTCTCATGAGGATTCATCTGCCACCAAATTAAATAAGAAGGCTTGGAGGACTAAGAATAGACAG